TGCGTTTCCAAAGTTTCATATAAAATTATAATAAAATTACTTAAATGATGGTGAAAAGTTGTTTGTTTGTTTCTTTTCGTAATCTTATGCAATGATGACGATCGCTAACAAATTCTCATTCGTCATAGCTACTTTTTATAAGAAACTGAAACTGGCGTAAACGCTGAAAGTTGAAAGAAGCTACCTATTCGGTGCAAGTAACAAAGGCAGATAAGCAGAAGTCAGATAAAGTTAAATGAAAGTAGCGTTCCGTCCCAATTTATAGCGACAATCAGATCACGGATTGCCTATGGTTGCATCTGGTTTGCTTTGAAAAGCCACCTTTGGAGAAAGAATAGTTGGCCTCTTATGAACGAGGAATTATTTTTTGCACCATTGCAAGACAGACCAGTACGTTATTTCACAGAGTAAGCTGTAAGGAGGAGTTTATTGAATATTTTAATATTAACTTATGTTAATACTAACTGAAAATATCTTAAATGTCGCTACGTGACGGGGTTCTTTCTGTGAAGGGTCTGTAGTTTTGCTGCTAGTCTTCAGACTTCTGCAGAATAAATATTCACAGTAAAGTCAGTGTGTCTAAAGGAAATGTTGACTTTCTGTATTGGTAAGCTATAAGTGTAAGATGATTACAAGTGAATTTGTGAAGTTTTTCTGGAGAACGGAAGCGCTTTAAACTCAGGTGGTTGTGCTACGGTAGCGTAGATTGTCTGAATTTGCAAATAACAAATGAGGAAGGGTTGATACCGAGAGGAGAAGAAAGGTGTAAGGAATTTGTTAGAATAACCTATCTAGCTACAGTTGCATCGCCTTTGATTGCATTTAGTTATTAAAATGATCACAATTTACCTTTAAGGATCTTATAACTTCAATTTATTTCAAAATCCACCAAATTCTTTACGGGATTACATTGAATATGAAGTTCATTACATTGAAGTTCTCCAGCGTCTTGGTTCATGGTGCATCCGTATTCAGGGAGCGACATACTACAGATACGATGTTGTAGTATTTGTCGGAATATTTAGGTACAAATTTCAATATAAAGGCTTTAGCCTCGCTAGTTGTAGTTTGTTCATGACTTCGTTCCAATGCAAGCCTAATTCCCTACCGACGTCTTCAATAATGCATTGGTTTAGCTTTGTCAGCAATGCTTCACTTTTGTTCCAATTTAGAAGGTTTCACTTTCATGTAGTCCCATAGTACAATATGCTGCACAGCTGCCTTGTTCTTTACACATTCTAGCTTCTTCATTCACGCAGATCTTTTGTTTGTCTTCGCCCTTTACTTTTCGCTGCCTGTCCACTCTGTCGTAGATCGACGTTGCGCCATCTAGACAAGTTATTAAAGTGTTCTATGTTCCTCTCTTCTATGACATTGCAGGAGACTCTGCTATGTAATTGATGTCACACATGGTAGATTGAAAATCCAGCCTTGTGGTTTCGGTTCGGTGATTTCTGGCATGTATAAGATGTTGCTATGAATTGAATACTAGCCGTATTCAGTGCTTTCGAGCGATTCGAGGCAGCTTCTCGCTAAGATTTTTCGCAGAAAGCAATGCTGATGTTGGCAATTTATTTTTCACCTTCAATACTCTCCCTTTGCTGACTGCTGATTGTTTTCTCTACCAATATTCTAGATTAGCTCCTGTTTCTGAAAGCTCTGCGGATGTAGGCTAGCTTTTTTTTGGATTAGCTGAAAGCATCTGCTAACTATTGTGTTGAAAGTGTTCCTCTTCAGGTAATATCGGTGGTTCGAATCGAACGGCAGAAGTTTATTGGTATGAGGTGGCTTGTGAAACACCTCAGTAGGGTACCTTTACCCATTTCTCGTCATGAGTGTGTCTAGGAAAGATATCGAGTTGTTTTGTTCCAATTCCATCATGAATACGATATCTCACTGATACAATGTGTTGATTTGATGCAAGAAGGTTTACAGATGACGAATATGTCATCACCGTACCTTTTGAACAATGGGAGATGATTACTCTGTCAGAAATTGTGAATGCCAGTGTTTCAAAATGTTCCATAAAAAATTACACTAGATCAGGAGAAAATGAACAACTCATGGGGGAACTGTTGATTTGCTGATATAGCTCGCCATTAGGTCAGAAATAGTTCACTTGACAAATCTTCAGAATATTGGCGTTAAATTTAACTGTTAGCGTTCTTTTTTTCGCTAACTCTGTATCAATCTCGAGCTGCGCATTATCATCATGAAGATTCCTCTGAATAGTAAGCTGCTCAGCAAGCTCTGTTAAGTTGATTTTGCGGTTAAGTTTTTTTAATCCATTCTGCCTTTTTTTCAACTTCATTGTTATTTTTGGAGACTTGAAAGCAGGAAGGCGAAAAGAACTTGGCGGCTGTGCAACATACAGTAAAAAACAGCAGTGCACACTATGTAACTACATAAAAGGAAAGTATTGAAAACAAAACTTTCTAAATCAGAAGAGAGGAGAAGATTCGCTGACAGTCGAACCAATGTATGAATAAAAGTGTCGGTATGATAAATGTTAGCCCTGGAACGAAGTTATTAATTAGCCATACTAACGAGGCTAGACTCTCCATAGTGAAGTTTGTACCTAAAGATACCAGTAAGTACCGTAACATCGTATCAGTAATGAATCGAGCATGATTCGAAGCGTTAGATAACTAACGTGGTTCTGCAGTGGTTTCAGTTTCGTTTCTTTTGTTCCTGATTCCATTTGTTAATTAGTGTTGATTTGTTGTTGCCCATGGATTTCGCGTTCTGTTTTTGTTTATTGATTTCATTCATTCACATTTGAGTTATTTCGCTACGTTTACGAGAAGTATATTGTCTTCCATTATTGGCTTTGTTAATTTGTTGTCTAGTTCACAGGGACTTAAATTTCTATGTTTGATATATGTTCAGTTAAAGAGAGCTACATTGTAGCAGTGGAGTTAAATAATTAAATTTATAAAATTTAGCCAGCATCATGATCATTTTCATCATCATCGTCTTTATGTAGATATGAAATTGTTCGATGATCAGAGAAAACGCCTGCACGAGTGCTTTAGCAACCTGGACAATACTTATGATACGATGATTGTATCAGACAAGCCGGCGAACTGTGGCCGCTGAACTGACGAATTTGGATTGCACTCTCGTGTGGTCCAAAGCTTGATTGTGTTCGGCCTGGACATGCACTTGGTTGTGCCATTTATGAAATTTAGGTCACATAGGTAAAAATGACGCCGTATTGTTGTCCTAATTATGTGAGCTCCCTTACATAGACGAAAGTAACGATAAATCAACATATACAACAGGCAGTCTTCTGTTTGTTAATTTTGTTATTAGGCATCATGATCGCGCATTATACAAAATTTCACGTTACTATTAAATTCGGTCTGTTGGATAGATGCGGAAGAGCAGCTATTCCATGTCTTTGTAAAACATTCACTTGTAGGAAATCCTGTACATCCAGAACTTATTTTTAGGCAACTGAAGGTGATGCTATTATCACAGACTTATATGCTTTAGACAATATCATAGGACTCAGAACAGTTGGAGAGAAAATTAAGCCTCCTAGCAGAGATGGCGACGCAAAAAATGGCGATATGACCCGAGGGCTCAGTATTGCAGGGCTTAGAGCTACAGGGGAAAGGATGAGTGGAGTCAACACATACGGTGACAATATTGATGGTGAAAGAACTTTAGGGACTAAAATCATAGGAAAAAGGACAAGAGGGCTGAGGATAAGTGGAGTCAGCGCCAAAGGAGAGAGAACTCCAGCTTGTAATAGTTTTGGCGAAAGAATAACTGGAGACAGTACGCCTGGCGCTAGAATAAATACACCAAACACAGTAGGATTTAGGATGGTAGGGGACAGTGCAGAAGGAGTCAGTACGCCTCGCTTAATATTGCAACGAAAATATTTAGGACCATGTTCATCATGTCGATGCAGGTACTCTTTTTCCATTCCAGGTTCTGACAGCTCGTGAATAATATCTTCCAATGCAGATAACAAGTAGGTTTCATTTGAAAACATTCTTCTAGCTTTCAAGAGACAGTCCAATTCTGGATTGTATCTACCTGACTGTGCGTACATAAGGATCATTTGCTTCCAGTTCAACAAAGAGTAACCTTTTTTGTTCAGGTCACTTTTTTGCTCAGACGTGTAAGATTTACGTAGCTTCCGGAAGAGTCTAATCTGTCTTCTTCTCGTCGTTTCGTTCATCAGCACCTCAGTTACCGAACGAGATATAGACTTGACTTTTTGCAAGAACAGCGGCAGACGGCTTTCGGCAATAACGTCATCGAAGGAAGGAGCGTGGTTCGTAAGCTCACTTAGATCTAAAGCCATTCCAAGCATTGCCTGCTGCTGGCGTCTGGAAGACGTTCCTATTCCCATTATTTTCTTTATAGGATGTAATAAGTTCGGTTTTTTGTCCTGGTAGAGACTGAGTATATCAGGCGACAGTATCGACACTTCCTCGTCTTGCGGCTTCAGGGACATCAGCCGAGGCGATAGAAAACGGAAGGAAGA